GGCCCCGCGGCTACACGCGGCACGGACTAGGTAGTTCGGATTAGGCTTCCTATTCCGAACTACCATTACTCGTCGTGGAACGAGCAAGCCTAATCCGAACTACCTAGTCTGTGCCGCGTGTAGCTGCAGGGCACGGAGTCCGCACTAGCGGACATTTAAAAATGGCGGCGCCCGGCAATATGCAAATGAAGCCCGGGAAATTCAAATCCCGGGCTTCATTTGCAACTCGGGTTGCCTACATTACAACCCTAGTTCGAACTAGGGTGGTAGTGTAGACATACCCTAAGAGAACTAGCGTTGCTACCAGAGCCCCCAGAAGGGTCCGAGACTGGAGGTCAAAGCAGTGAGGCAGGAGAGAAACCTAGAAGGAAAACTTTATTATGCATGCGTGCAGGCTGACAGCTACAGCAGCAGCCCTGAGAGACAGGTTCAGGGATTCGCTATACAGTATGCTCAGACAGTTTAGTTGTTGATTGTTTTCTTTAACATATCAAAGTCTCAGCAGAAGTACTCTGAGACGTTTCTGTTCACACCAGGAGTGCTAGAAGTAAGTTTTACACAACAAAGGCACATGAGAATGTGGAGTGAGTAGTCTTACAAGGCAAACTGTGACAAAGATAAGAGTTTACATGATAATTTGTGACAGACTAGGTCAGGAGTATCCATGAATTTGAGATAGGCATTTGTAAGGGTCTTGATTAGAGTTTAGATGATTCCACTCCTATACAGGGAGAGAGGTCTGGAAAACTTTTAACCCTTAGAAAGTTATGATTTCCTCCAGTGTCCCCCCTTAGACACAAATGGAGTTATTTGATTTTCCCCACACTACTCCAGCCATTTCTGGATGCCACAGATAAAGTGCAAGGTGAACAGCATGTTACGATTTCAGCAGTGGTGCCATCAATAATTGGACTATATCTCCTTCTTTTGGAATTTATTCCAGCATACTTGGGGAATATGGTTACAGCTTTAAGAAGCAGTACTGAAAAACGTTTCATTGGTATTTGCATTAACGCTGGTTTGATACCATTACCAAATCCTTTGGATGACACAGAAAAATCACTAGTGGCTTTTAGTCATTTCATGTACTTTCTGGCATCCGTGTTAGACCCTAATTTTTGCTTCTGGTGGCTGGAAAAAATTAGTTCTGATGATACTAAAACTAATACTGTGAAAGCAGAAATTGTTTCACAACTTCAGCAATTTGTGCCTCTAGCTGTACTGGCCATGATAATGTCTCAAACTCTGATGCTGATGGCCCACTAGTTAAATCAAAACCTGCATCCTCACTGTATGTTTATCGAAGGCCAGCTAACACCACCATACCACAGCCAGGAAATTTTGATGATGAGCTGAGGTGTTATCAAGAGCTAGCTGCTAAGATAGCAGATGATGGAATGGATGTGATGTCTTTCTGGAAAAGTCATGGAGAAAGCCTTCCATTGTTGCACAAGGATGCTATGAGTGTGTTTATGGTTCCTGCCAGTAGTGCACCAGTTGAAAGGGTGTTTAGCCAAGGAGGGATTGTAATGCGCCCAAGTTGTGCCAGACTGGGTGATAATGTGGCGGTAAAGATAATATTTCTCAAATGTAATACTGAATACTAACTTTGTTAATGAAGACTTTTTTTATTTCTAATTTCATTTTGTGCACCTAGTTTTACATAGCTGTAGCTCAAAGCTGTCATGAATATGTTTATATAAATACATAAAAGCTACGTCTACACTGGCATGATTTTCCAGAAATGCTATTAACGGAAAAGTTTTCCATTAAAAGCATTTTCGGAAAAGCGCATCTAGATTGGCAGGACGCTTTTCCGGAAAAGCATTTTTTGCGGAAAAGCGTCCGTGGCCAATCTAGACGCGCTTTTCCGCAAAAAAGCCCCGATCGCCATTTTCGCGATCGGGGCTTTTTTTGCGGAAAACAGTACTGTGCTGTCTACACTGGCCCATTTGTGCAAAAATCTTTCGGAAAAAGACTTTTGCCCGAACGGGAGCAGCATAGTTTTTCCGGAAAAGCACTGATGATTTTACATGAGATCATCAGTGCTTTTCCGGAAATTCAAGTGGTCAGTGTAGACAGCTGGCAAGTTTTTCCGGAAAAGCAGATGATTTTCCGGAAAAACTTGCCAGTCTAGACACAGCCAAAGTGTGTAGTTTGTTACCTTTTAGCTGAGTAGTCAAAAACTAAACAAGACTACTAGTAGTTAGCAAGTACGGCAAATACGATTCGGATTTATGTTAATAAATGAAAACAGATAGTGATTATTGTTATTTATCGATATTTATCGATATTGATGGCTTGTACAAAAGTGACTTGACATTTTTTAAATTAAGCCTTGAGACTCTACTTGGGACTTGAACTGTAGTGACTTGAGACTCGACTTGGACTTGACAATGACGACTTGAAGACAACACTGGTAGACGCACCCTGAGTCTGAAACCTGCTAGGAATTTATATCATTGTAGCTAAGTCTCACTGGTATGAAAAGCCACACCCCTGAGGGAGGTAGCTATACTGATCTAATTCCGGATGTAGACAGCAGTAGGTCAATGGAAGACTTGTTCCATTACCGCCTCTCTGGGATGTGGATTACATAAGTCGATGAAAACTTCCCTCCCCATTGAGGGAGGTGATGTGTACATTGAAGTATAACACCGTTGTGCTGCTGTAGCATTCAATTTCTGGAAGAGGCAATGCAAATGAAGCGCAGATTAACGTTTTCTTATGCTTCATTTGCATACTCTCTTCTGATCTGTTTTAGCGCTAGGGGGTTTTGCACAAAAACAAGCAGTGTGGATGTTTCCTTTTTGAGCAAAACCCCCTTTTGGTGCAAGATCTTTATGCCTCAAAAAAGGAGGTATACCGACCTTGCACAAAAAGGGTTTTTTGTGCAAAAAGGAAACGTCCACACTGCTTGTTTTTGCGCAAAAACCCCTAGTTCAAAAATGGATCTGAAGAAAGTATGCAAATAAAGTGCAAGAAAATGCTAATCCGCACTTAATTTGCATAGGCTTTTGTGGCAAAACTCTTAGTGTATATGTAGCCTCAGGCTTAGAACTTTGGTTGGTCAAGGGTGTGAAAAAACACACCCTAACCAGCATAACTTTCACTGACAAAAGAGCAGGTGTGGACAGTTCTATGTTGCTGGGAGATGCTCTTCCATTGCTGTGTCTGCTACAGCTCATTGTGGATGGTTTAATTATGCGGGCAGGAAAGCTCCCTCCTGCTGGCATTGAGCAGCTATATGGGAGACCTTGCTGGTTAATAGTTTAAACAGAATTTTGCATTCCTTGTTGGAGACACTTAGGGTTCAGTACATATTTCCATAATTGCCGTACTACACTGTTACTAAGTTTTTTTTTTTATCTTTTAAACTTTCTTTGGTAAAGACATTTTGACTATCTAGACTAGCGTAGAAGCTGCTTTATAAATCTGATGTTTTGTACTGTATTTGGTTCAGTGTCGTGCAGATTGTGTTTTTACACTAATTATGGTTATACTGCAGAGCCAATGGGAATAAAACAATACTTAAGGAGTAATATTTTACCAATATTGATGTAGAATTTAATTAGTAAAAGTGCAATACAAGGACTTTTATTTCTAGAGGAGCAAGCTAGGTGTTATCAAAAATGGCTACCAGCAGATGTCTTCAGTAGGCTATGTAAAATGTATCATTAGTATCAGAATAAATCTGTTTTTAAAAGCAGCAACTCAGTTGCCACCTTTCTTGGCTGTGTCATTGAAGAATGTATTGACTGCATTGCTATCTACCACAAATGGTTCTCCAAGTCAGGGTTGAGCTGTATTACCAACTAAATGAAGAGGTTTGCATGACCACCAATGTCCATGTGAAACCTTTTGTTAGTGCGCATGCTCTCACTCAATAATGTCTAAAACATTTCACTTAATATATTGATACAGTGCTTGGTAGAAGAGAAGAATGGATACAGAGTACCTCAAGAAATGCATAGGAAACTGCTTAGCTGAGGGACTTGCAGAGGTGGCAGAGCATCGACCAGTAGACCCAATTAATTATCTGGCATACTGGCTTTACAAATATAAGAAAAAATTAAATAAAGAAGAAGAGGTGAATTTCCTTTAATGTTTAAAAATCTTTTTATCATATAATCTGAACGTGGCTGATTTTAGTTTCCGTATTTTGTAATTGGTCAATGTTATCATTTTTCTCCAATGTTAGAGGAAGGTAGAGAGAGAACATCTGATACATGAACATGCAACGGCTCTGCTACAACTGGAAATGGTAAAGAAACTGAAAGCAGAAGAGCTCCTGATCAAGCAGAAAACTGAAACACATTATCAGGTCTGAAAATTTAATCTTGTATACTAAATTTTAAAACTGAAATCTTACTATCTTGACATGCTTTAATGTTGACAAATATTTAACGTTTATAACATTCTTAATCTAATAATACGGTATTTTTCATCTAAAATGTTTTAAAATATTTTAAAAATCCTCATAATACACCTTCAATTAGAATAGATAAGTAAATAATTTTTATTCCCATTTTAGGGTGCACCTACACTGCACCATAGCTCAAAATAAGAGACGCAATTTGAGCTTCGCAAATTGCTTATCTTATTTCAATCTTATTTCAAAATATCTTATTTTGTAGATGGTTCCAAATTTCAAAATAACCTCTATTCTGAAAATGTCCTTTACTCCTCATGGAATGAGGTTTACAGGAATGTCAGAATAGCGAGCCTGAAATAATGGGTTTGCTGTGAAGACACGGGATAGCTATTTCGGGATACTCCAGTATCCCAAAATAGCATTGCAGAGAGACATAGCCTTATAGACAAGAGCTAAGGAATTCTCACATTATCCCCAATTACCTGGCTAAGAGAGAAATTTTGATTATAATCTGACAGCTCACAATTATATTCAACATCCCTGTAATGTCCAGGTTTACTCATATTGTCACTTCCCTATCTGATGTTTCTAGAGTCTTATCTAAACTAAGGATGTTAAAATGCAGTTAATTGTCTAGTCTACTAGTCAATGGAATTTCCATCAACTGGTCGATAGGCACTTCCACATTCCTCCTTTGAAATGTATAAGAGCCCTGGCAGAGGAATGCGGAAGTGCCTATCAACTAGTCAAACTATCCGATAAGCAAATGTTTATTGGATAGTCGACTAGTCGACTAGACTTTAATATCCTTAATCTAAACTGGGAAATATTTTCTAAACATTGATAACATTTGATCCCATTTCATCAGTGGTAGACACATTAGAAAACCTAACATAAAGAGACTGCCAGCATTTTTAATACTATGTCAGAAGCACAGCTGATAAATGTATGGATGAGCCAAAAATTGGCAGAGTTTTAATGATGAGGGAAACTGAGCAATCATGAAGTGTGATCAGCATCCTTTGTAAGCTGGGCCCATTCGAAAAAATCCATTTTAATATAGCCACCTGCAAAATTATATATCTAGAACCAAATAATTTAGGCTGTACCTACTGCGTGGTGAACTGTACCCTGGGAAGCAGTAACTCATCAAAGGAGTCAGGGGTCATTGTAAGCAGGGGAATGGTCCCGCAATTGTGGGGAACTTTCCTGGCTTCTATACCACCCCGGTGAAATGGACCAGCGAAAGGATCTGAGTCCCCTCTCCCACTTCCTTTACCCCACAGCTTCCTGATCCTGAGGGCTCCCCCTCCACTCTCCTGAGTAGCAGAGTCCTCGAAACCCCAACAAGGCTGGGTCCAGGTTTCCTGGGGCTCAATCCCCGACCTTGTAGTCACTAGGGGCAGGAGTTAGGGTGTCCCCACTCCGAGGTGTTCTTGGCCCAGTGATCATTTCATCAGGTTCAAAGCAAATACAATTTATTAAACATCAACTGATTAAAGAGAAAAGAATAAGAAAAAAATGAGAATGGTTAAATGAGAACACACAGCCCTGCTCTGTAGCACAGGGACATCAAAACAGCAGTCTGCAAAGTGTAAGGACAGTTCACAGTCTCTTCCTTATAGGCCCCTTAGAGGCCCTGGATGTGCTGCAGGGGGGCTGCAGGCTGGACACACTTGCTCTGGCAGTGACCACACAGCCTCAAGCTCTTAAGTGGCCAGACCCCTCTCCCAGTCTGGCCTGCTGGGCCTCTTGGCTGGTGATATCTCCCTGCCCATAGCCTCTCCCCGCACTTTGCTGGTCCCAGCTGCTCACCACACCCAGCTGTAGGCTGTGCTGCTTTGCCAGTCTCCAGCTCCTTGCATTGCTTCTCTGTCCCTTTTGGCTTCTCTGAGCACTGCCAGTCTGCTGCTCAACGCAGAGTCTGCGCTCCTTGGGCTGTGTGTGCCTGGCTCTGTTGCTGCAGGACTTCTTCTCCACACAGCTTGCACTGCTCTTAGCTGTCTCTCAGTTCTCTCCTTGCTCAGAGAGACCCTGAACAATCCCAGCTCACAGGGAGGACGGGTCCTGGCCTCTTTCTTTTCTCACTGGCCTGTCCAACCTGTCAATCAGGCTGAGCTGGAGTGTTGGCTGCTTTCCATTGTCTCATGGACCCTTCCCCTTTTGATTCTGGGAGCTGGCAAACCAAAAACTCCCACAGAGTTTTAGTAAGGGGCTAACAGTCCCCTTACACATGATGGATGAGCAACTCAACATGAGTATCCAGTGCAATCCTGTGTCAAAAAGGGCAATGTAATCTTTTGACATATAAATGGGAGTAATGAACAGGAACAGGGAGGAGATTTTTACCTCTGTATAAGTCATTTATAAACTAGATATGACAATACTTCATACATTTCTGGTGCCCGTATTCTAAAAAGGATGCTGAAAATTTGAAGAGGTGTACAAAAGAGCCACTACAAGGCTTGAGAAAATGTCTTCCATTGAAAGATGTAAAGAATGTGATCTGTAAGGCTTAGGCTATGTGCACACTATCCCTTTTGTCAGTCAAGAGTGTGAAAAAAAAATCTCTGACCAATATACATTTTCAGAGGGGAAGCTGAATTAGTCTATAACAGGAAAAACGTAAAAAGTAACAAATAGTCTAGTAGCACCTTAAAGAGTAACAAAACATATAGATGGTATCATGAACAAAGCCCACTTCTTCAGATGACTGGAGTATTAGAAGTCCAGATCATGAATAAATAAGGGAAGGGGAAGCAGAGGAGGAAAAAGAGAGAAATGATGTGTGGGAGGGGAAGAGTGCATTTCCTGTGTGCATTTCCAGCCTGCCAGTCACTCTCAGGCTGTTATGGATTTGAATTATATTACAAAATGACCACAGCATATTCCTACTCCCAGATTTTCCCCCAGAAAGGTAGGTTTTGTACTGCTCAGCTATGTCTTGGACAAAGCAAGTTCATGTATAAAGTCAGTCATTTTATTCCTAGAAATTATATACACTAATCTTATCTCAAATGGAGTTTTCCAAACACTTTAATTCAAACACACTGGTTTAAATTAAGTAAAATCCCTGTTAATCAGTTAACTGGTTAAACCAGAGCAACCCACCATGGACAGAGACTGTGGGGTTGAAGCAGCCCCCTGCCTCTGGCAGGCAGGAAGCTGCCCAAGCTCCCACTGGTTACCAGTTAATCTTTCACATCTCTAGTTTAGATGAAACAATAAAACAAGTTTATTAATGACAAAGACATTAATTCAAGTAATAAGGCATAAAAGTCAGAAATGGTTACAAGAAAAATAGATAATTTAACAAACCATATTAAATTCAAAGCAAAGTTTTTCTCATAACATGTTCTTAACAGTCTGGATAGCCAAACTCCTTAAGCTCTTGTTCTGCATAATGACAGCTCCCTTTGTTCCTACTCATGCTGTAAATTAATTGGGAAAAGGAAGGAAACAAGAATAGTGGCAGAGGGCAGGAAGGAGAAGGAATGGTGTTTTGGGATGTTAGTCCAGTTTCTCACCCGTGTATATGGGCTTAGCTTTGTCTCAGGTTATGGTCTTGCCCTCTTTTTATGGGGAGTGAAAGCAGTGGGGAATGAGAATTGCCTCCTGTAGCAGGGACACTTGATAAGGGAGCCCAAGCCCTCCAACTCCATCTGCCTTTGGCACAGGGCCGTTTGAGAACCAATCAGTGTCTGGAACCTTGGCATGCCCTTGGAGTTACCACATTGGTCACTTCTACATGTCTTTTCCCATGGTTCCAAGTACAATATAAGATAACAAAAGGGGATAAAAAGACAACTAAACCTTCATCCCCTCAGTTCCCTTCCTCCATGGGAGACTTCTTCAACACTCTTGTTCAGGAGCCCTTAGGGAAAAAGACTGTCTTCTTCTTCCTTCTGAGCTGTTGTCGTCCCTTTTTAAGCTTTCTCCCAAGTGGAAGCATGTTGGTCTGGAAGAGTGGGTTACCTGGGCCCAGTACACTATTTAACCCCTTTCCGCCCAACTTTGGATTTGTACATCCTACCAGAGACTCCTAAAGTCCCAATCATTGGTGGAACTGAACCAGTATTCACAATGGAGGTAAATTCTCCAATATAGATGAGACTCTAGAGGCTGGCTCTTCATGGCTTGTGTGGCATAAAAAAGAACCAGCAACAGGAGTGAAGTTGGATACTGAAGAAATGACAAATAGACATGTGAGCTGCTAAGACATAATATGCTGAAGTTCTACTTTTCCTGCCAGTTTGAAGTCCTCAGCACTAAGGGTTGGTCTACACTACCCAGTTATCTTATGTCAGCCTAATTATGTCAGTGTCTACACTACATCCTTCCCTCTACTAATGTAAGAATCTCTTACGCTGACATGACATAACCCACCTCCACGAGGGGCATAAGATTTATGTTGGTGTAGTTAGTGCAAGACTATGTGTGTGTAGATCCTGAGTCCCTTACGTTAGCTGTCCTGTCAATTTCATGGAAGAAACCATGAAATTGACAAGAAAGCATGGCAGCACAACTACTTCCCTGCTCCTCTGTACAAGTGGGTAGCTGGACCCCATTCCTGGCTGGAAGCCAAGGCACAGATGGATGGACCCAACTTCTGGCTAAATCTTAGGTGGCTTTGGACCCTGATCCCAGCAGGGAGCTGGGGTGAGAAGCCCGAGCAACTACCCCCCATTGCTCCCTGCTCCCTCCTGCACCACTGACCCAAGGAGAGTAGTGTGGATGTGTACCAGCACATTAATTACTGTGGTGGCTATAAGTTGACCTAATGTAGGCTGATCTAGGTTTGTAGTGTAAGCATACACTCACTATAAAAGAATTTAGAAAAATATTCTACATAGAGCTAATGCTGCTCCCACTGCAGTCAATGGCAAAACCTCTGTATGTCTTTCCTTTGTTTATGTTAATCAAATGTAACTTTTATCTTAGAAGATAATGATCGAACCGTATCCAAGAAACAAGATAACAGAGCTTACCAACAAGTCTGGAGCCCCCCTTTTGACAACCGTTGTAGAGGATGATGAGACTATTATTTAGAGTAAGTATTATATCTCATAATATAACTAAGGTCTAAATAATGTTTTCCTTTGACCCCATTCATAGAACTACAATAATATTTCTTCACACTCTATCAGGTGTAGTCTGCTGCGTACATAACACACTTTGAAAAAGTGGCTTGATACAGTAGACAAACAAACAAATAAAAAGACAGTCAATTTTTAATCAGTCTTGGAAACAGTATGCTGGAAATGTGCTGTTTTTTTAGTTTAGTTTAGGAATACAATTTATCATAGTTTTGCTATTTGTGGAACTTAAATTATTGAATCATAGAACTGGAAGGAGCCTTGAGAGGTCATTAAGTCCAATTCCCTGCACAGATCGCAGGACTAAGCACCATCTAGACCATCCCTGATGTGTCTATCCAGCCACCTGAACCAAATGGAGTAAAGCCTGAGGTGACATTCATGCCTCGAATTAAGGGCAGTGTAAACACTGTGCACTGAAATTCAGAATTACTGGCCTCCAGGTGGTGAGATAGAAATCTCATTTGAAAATGCTTTGGGGAGCACTTTGAACTCCATGACTCTTTAGAGAATGTGAGCAGGAAAAGCCCCAGGAACTTTTGAACGTTCATTTCCTGTTGGAGCAGCATGGAGAGCTCACCATCAAAACTGAGCATGCACGCCCAGGGCCACAGACACCTCCAGAAGTTGGGGGGTTAAGGAGACAGTGGATCTGATTGCTGTGGGGGAGAAAGTCTATGTAGGCAGAACTCTGAACATGCAAAAGAAATGCTGATAACTAGGCCAGAGAGGCTAGCTAGGTAGTTGTCACACACTGTAAAGGACCATTCTAGAATGACCCATTAACATTTCTACAGTCATAGAACAAAAAAATGAAGTAATAGTGGGTTACAGAGTGTTATAGTAAGTCATAAAACCAGCTTCTCTATTCAGTCAATGATTTTTAGTGCCTAGCAGAGTTATGAATTTAAATTCCCTGCCTCACCTTTTGATGAGGTTTCCTTTTAGGATGATTACTGATAGGTCAGAAAAAGTGTGATCACTTTGTAAAAATTGTTGACCCACAGGGTATAGGGTGTTTTTGTCTTACTAATTTCCTTTGTGAGTTCATTCAAGAGCATAGCATTTGTTTGGTTTCACCCACATAGGTATTATTGGGGTGTTTAGTGCACTGGATGAGATTTACCACATCAAGATAGGCATGTGTAGGATCCATGGATCTTCAAAGGTGTGCTGTGGTGGGTGTTGATCATTGTAGCAGTAGCGATATGTCTGAAGAGTTTGCGTCTGTGGTGCTGACAGGGTCTGGTGCCACCCTGAGTTGCTGTATTGTCTGGGGAAAGCTGGCTCCTTATAAACTTAGAGAGATTGGGGTTTGCATGAAAGTAAAAAGTGGAGTTTCAGAAGAGATTTCTTTCAGGATGGGGTTCCCCAGGGATTGTAGTTGTTTGATGATACCCAATATGGAGTCCAGTGTGGTATAACAGATAGGGGAGAGTGAAGAGAGAGGTTTTTATTTTTGTATTGAAACATGTTTTCTTGGGTATTTGGATCTACTTCTCTGGTGGAGTGTCCTTGTTTGATGAAGGCAGTTTTAAGTGTGTTAAGATATATATTCTGTATTACTCCTCACTACATATTCTGTGATATTTGCCTGGCTGTAAGTAACAGATTTCTTGTTGTATATAATATGAAAGAAGTAGTAGAAAAATAAAGATACAATGGACTGAGGAAATAAACAGGTAATTCTTACAAAGTTAATTGTCAAGAGTTATGGTCAAGAGTTAAAAAATTAGATAGGATTTGTGATCGTCTCAGAGAGAGTAGAAAATTGGAGGTGAGGCTAGTTGGTTATTCTTCAGGTTCAAGTGCCGTTGAATGAAACTTTGCCAACTGAAGTCAAAGAGCATTGATCCTGCAAGTGGGAGACTGCCATGCCATCATCAGTAAAAGGTACAGGATTTACTTCCCTTAACCAAGATTCTCTGGTCTGGCAACATCCATGGTCTGGCAGGACCACAGATATTCCTGGACCACAAAGTCCAGGTATAAGGAGGTCGGGCCGCAGGGCAGGAGCAGGGGCGGGAGGAGTCCTGTGCTGAGAGAGGGGGTTGCAGCCTGGAGTTCTGGCCCTTGCTTGGCATAGCAGGGGGCTGGCAGCAGCCGCAAAGTCCCAGCAGCTGTGGCACCTCAGTCCTGATAGCCGTGGAGCCCCAGCAGCCCCAGAAACCAGGGCAGCCATGGAGCCCTGGCAGCCCCAGAAGCTGTGGCAGCTGCCGGGGCCCGGGAGGCCCCACCGCAGCCTGGGAGCTCCAGCCTGGGGATCCATGGCTGGGCAGGCAGCAGCAGGACTTAGCTGGAGTCCTAGCCAGGAGCTATACAGGCTATGCTGGGAAGGACTTCCTCTTGTTTGGCAAATCCCCTTGTTTGGCACCAGTCAGATCCCGAGGGTGCTGGATAACCTGTAGTGGCAATGATGATTTAAGTCCCTATTCCAGGCCTTTGAGCAACACCTCAACCGTGTTTTTAATGAAGCGCAAAAAGATTTTTATAGGGATATTTGGATCCAAAGGAGAACTAAGAATCACAGTGATGTGATGTAACCATACGTGTGGGCTATGTCTAGACTGCCCCCTCTTACACAAAAAATATGCAAATGAGGCAAAGCATGGAATATCGCCATGCCTCATTTGCATAATTAACGAGGCTCTGTTTTTTCACAAGAAACTTTTGTGCAAAAGGAGAAATCTACATGGCTCCTTTTTGTGCAAAACCCCCCTCTTGCGCAAGAGCTGTTCTTCCCCTTTTTTTCAGGAAGAACGGCTCTTGTGCAAGGGGGCTTTTTTGCGCAAAAATGGAGCCTTATTAGTTATGCAAATGAAGTATGGCAATATTCCACACTTTGCCTAATTTGCATATTTTTTGCACAAGAGGGGTCAGTCTAGGCATAGCCTAGGGATGTGAAGGTTTAATCGGTTAATTGATGGGGCTGGATTTGGCCTGTGGCTACCTCACCGGGATCCTTACTACAGAACATCTTACACCAGTTTAAATAGCTGGCTGCTCTCTGTTCTGCACACTGGGGAGGAAGGGGGAGACTTAGTGTGCTGCCTCCACCCTCTAGCAAAATCCCTCACTTCCCATTGGCCAGCTTCCAGCCAATAGGAGCTGAAAAATTTTGCTGGAGGTAGGGGCAGTATGTGATGCTTCCTCCTCCCACCCTGCTGGAACAGAGCCACACAGAGCAGCCTGGAACTGCAACAGAGAGGCAGAGAGCCTGCCTCAGGTTCATGCAGGGTTGCTGGCTGGGAGCTGCCTAGGTAAGTGCCTTCCAGCCAGAGCCTGGCTCTGGCATCCCACTCCCCACCAACTGCCTGCCCCACACCACCATCTCCTCCTGCCCCAGGTCACCACCCAACCCCTCTGTACCTCCTCTCCTCTCCTTCTTCCAGGTCACAATTCCTTTCCAGACCCTATACTCCCTTCTACACCTCTCCTGCAGGCCAGAATGCTCTCCTGCATCCTTACCCCCTCCTAGACCCTTCATCCCAAGCCCCTACTCCAGATCACAACCCCCTATTTCACCTAAACTTCCTGTCAGAGCCTACACATTCTCCTGCACACTAGTTCTCTATCCCAAGCTCCCTTCTGCACCTAATCCACTGTCCCAGATTCAGCACCCTTTCCATAGAAGTGCAGTCTTTGACCATTTACCAAAATCTTGGCATGGCCCCACATTAAAAAAATGATTGCCCACCCTGGGTTAAACAGTATGTTTAACCATTTAGCCATACACTAAACCCAGCTGTTGCACATGGGTAAAAAAAGTAAGAACTGAGCATATTAAAATTCATGAATGAAATTGTTGATGCCTACTTATTTATAGAAAAGTAACACTATTCTTTTGCTTTATCATTTCATATCATAAACATGTTTTACTGCCATGTCACTGTAAACTTGTGGAGTGATTTTTTTATTTCAAGTGTTAGCTCTTGTGTTAGCTGTTATTTGACTGAATCCTGGCACAGAGCTGATAAGCCACTGCAGTATTCTCCACTCTGATCTGCTAATTCATCTCAGCCCTAACTTGCTGCTTAAATATTATTTGTCGAGCTTTGTTACTCTATTGAACGGATACTCCCAAATATGCTTGATTATAGGTACACGTGTTTCTGATACAATCAGATTACTCAACAGATTAAGTTGAAGAGTAAAATGCTCTTGAAAGCTTTTTTATGCCCTAATTTTGACTCTCTAGAGATTGCAAAAACCACTGAAAAAAAGAGATTCAATGAAAAAACACTAATCACATCCCTCAGATATTATAAACCATTATTTGTGCAAATAAATATTACAAAACAGATAATGTGATTTGATTATTTTGCCAAAAAGTGTTAAGTATGTTTAGTTTTGTCTGTACACACAAAATTCATTATTTTCATACACAGAAGAACACCAAGGAGAAGGTTGTGGACACTTTGGCAAGTGGTGAAGCTGTTGAAACAAACCAAGAACCATCAAGAGATAAAACTGAGGGGCAAGATGACTCAATACATGAGTGAGAGTGAGCTGAGTGAATCACTACGGGTATGTCTACACTGCATTCCTCTTTTGAGAGAGGACTGCAAATGCAGCTGAGCGAAATTGCAAATGAAGCATGGATTTGAATTTCCCGTGCTTCTTTTGCATAATCGTGTCCAGGCGCTATTTCGAAATATTATATTTTGAAAAAATAAACGCTGTCTAGACGCGGTTATTTCGAAAGAAAACCCTTCTTTCGAAATTCCCCAACGCCTTATAAAATGAGGTTTAAGAGTAATTTTGAAAGAAGGGATTTCTTTCGAAGTAACCGCATCTAGACAGCGTTTCTTTTTTCAAAATAGCGCCCGGACACGATTATGCAAATGAAGCATGGGAAAGTCAAATCCACGTTTCATTTGTAATTTCGCTCAGCTGCATTTGCATTCCCCTCTTGAAAGAGGAATGCAGTGTAGACATACCCTAATTGAGAACACAGCAAGCAAAGCTCCTATGAAGCTTGATGAGGTGACTTGTAGAACACAGCAAACCTAGGAATGAATAAGACATGAAAACCAAAGATACAGTAGTTACACATGACAAATATGTATCCAGTGAATACCTGAAATTAATATAAAGACAAAAAATAAGGTATGTGAATTGACTAAATTAATGTCTTCTTGTATACAGTGCTCTGGATATGAGTACGAAAGAGTCTTCCTTTCTGCTCATGATGGGCCACAGATACCAATTTGATTACTATATCTGTAATTGCTAATTTTGGAAATAGTGTATCCTTTAGAACAGTTTTTTAAAAGGTTAGATTTTAGCTAAAACTCAGGCACAAGGCAAATGGAACTGGCAACTTTACATTTTGCCTAAACAGCATCTTGAATTTCTAGTTAAATAATTGCACAAAATATCTTCTGAATAATTGCAACTGTGCACATACTAAATTTAGAATTTGTTTAAACTATATGAAGTTTTTAATAAAGTTTAACACCGCTCCTGTGACATATCATATTTTAAAATCTGAGATATTAAAAGCCTTTTATCCTGTACATTCAGTTGTCTATAGTTTTTTATTATTATTATGCATACTTTGGAACCAATTTGAATGAAGTGTCAAAAATCATGTTTTCTTTAATGTATTCAGTCAAAATAATGTTGATGAAAAGTTGTTGGGGGGGGGATTCCTCAATAAAAATGTATGATTTTAAAACACCATAACACACTTATGCATGTGACTTCCCTCTCTCTAAATAGAAGAGCTTCAGTCAGCCTGTAAATTGGCTTTTCATAATGTAAGAAATTCCAGATGGGGTAAGGGAGAGGAAGAGAAGGCTATTTTATAGCTAATTATGCTTCTCTAGAAAGGTAATTTACAACCCTCAATTGCATGTAACTTCTCCTGAAGTCAGGTGGAATTCTGGAAGAAAACCCTAAATCTACAATTAGCTAAAACTGCATAGTAAGTAGTTACTGCATACTACAGTTAAGATGGTAAATGGCAGAACACACACCATCCATTCCGTCTTTATCTGCGTATATATTTTAGAGAGAGTGTGTGTGTGTGTGTGTGTGTGTCTGTCTGTCTGCGAGTCCATTTGTTCAAGAAGTCCTTCTAAAGGGTAAGAGCTAGTGCCACCAAATTTGGAGTGCAGCTCCCTCTTCACCTAACTTAAAGCAAGGTCTGGGTTTGGTTGTGCCAGGACAATTGAAAGCCCGGGGAAAAGGACAGTTTTCCATAACATGCAAAGGGAGAGACTGCTGTTCAGAGGGACACAATATGAGAGTAGCTGCTGGGGGCAGCTGTACAATCAAGGGAGTGACCAGCAGGGCTGGGGCTCTGCCATTTTTCCTGCCAGCAAGCCAAGTAAGTATCCTTTAAACTGTTTTCCCTCTTCCTGGCCCTTGGCCACAGCATGGGGGAAAGGGGACAGCCCCTGGCAGCAGTGAGGAGATCTAAGGGGGGAGAGAAAAGGCCTGTGCCAGATGGGCCTCCTCCACCCTGAGCTTCCCTTTATCCCCCAACCCTCACTTTCTTAACCCCCGCAGCCTCCAGAACTCCACACACACACATTCCCAAGGCCCTGCCCTGACTCCTACATCCCCACAATATCAGCCCCTTGTCCTGAAGGACCCAGTACATAATAGCATATTGCATAAGGCATCCACTTCTGTCCAGAAGATACCCCAAAACAAAGGAATGCAAAATCCCATTTAATCAATTAACTTGTTAAATGTTACAGTTAACCACTTAATTGATATCCTGTGGGCAGGAAGCCCAGGGAGGCTGGAGCTGACCCCTTCCTGTCGCTGCACAGTGGGCCACAGTTTTTAGCACTAGGTTAGGGATGCATCTACAGAATGTGATACTGGAGAAGGCACAAACACAAGGTATGTCTAGACTATGTGGCTCCATCGATGGAGCCATGTTGATTAGTTTACTAGACATAGGAAAATGAAGTGGCAATTTAAATAATCGCCACTTCATTTACATCAAAATGGCTGCCGTGCTGTGCCAATCAACTGTTTGGCGGCACAGCACTGTAGTCTGGACGCTCTGCGGTCGACAAGGGAAGCCTCATGGAATGAGGTTTACCGGGACGGTCAACAAGTGCTTCCTTCGTCGACCATGGAGCGTCCAGACTACCGCGCTGTACCACCAAACAGCTGATCGGCACAGCGTGGCAGCCATTTTGATGTAAATGAAGCGGCGATTATTTAAATTGCCGCTTCATTTTCTTATGTCTAGTAAACTAATCTACATGGCTCTGTCGACGTACCCACATAGTCTGAGTTTGTGGCAGTTGGCTAAGGCTCTATACTATCCATGCTCTCTACTCCAAGGGTGGGATTTCTTCTGCCCTGAAACTTCTGAAACCCAGAATTAAAAGTTTTCTATTACATCTATCTTATGCTATTTTCATCAGTATTCTGGATGTTCATGGTACGTTTTTCATAAGCAAATAAACTTAGGCTATGTCTACACTACTTGGGCAAAAACTTGCAGAGTGTCTACACTGCACGTGTGTTCTTGCACAAGTAAATTTATAGTACAGCGTCAGAAAACAGGGCTTCTTCCGGAAGAGTTATTCCTTTCCCCACAAGGAATAAGCCCTCTTGCGCAAGAGCTCTTCCACAAGAAGGCAGTGTAGATGGGGTAACATGAATTTCTTGTGCAAGAAACCCCTATTGCTAAAATGGCCCTCAGAGCTTTCTTGCGCAAGAGAGCGTCCACGCTGCCATGGACGCTCTTGCACAAAAGCACATCTCTTGTGCAAAAGCTCATGGCAGTGTGGACGCACTCTTGTGGAAGACCTTTTGCACAAGAACTCTTCCGCAAAACAGTTCTTGCGCAAGAAGCCTGCCATGTAGAAGTCTACATGTTTTTGCCTATTCTTGCGCAAAAACTTGCGGAGCGTCTACATTGCACGTGTGTTCTTGCACAAGTAAATTTATAGTACAGCGTCAGAAAACAGGGCTTCTTCCGGAAGAGTTATTCCTTTCCCCCTGTGGAATAAGCCCTCTTGCGCAAGAGCTCTTGCCAAGAAAGCAGTGTGGACGGGAGGAATAAGCCCTCTTGCGCAAGAGCTCTTGCCAAGAAAGCAGTGTGGTCGGGAAAAGGGGTTTCTTGTGCAAGAAACCCCTATGGCTAAAATGGCCATTAGAGTTTTCTTGCACAAGAGAGCATCCACACTCCATGGACATTCTTGCACAAAAGCACATCTCTTGTGCAAAAGCACATGGGGGCGTAGACACGCTCTTGCGCAAGAACTTTTTGCACAAGAAGCCTGCAGTGCGGACATAGCCTTGGGGTTCTTTTTATTTAATATCATGGCAGAAAATTGGCAGGTGAATTGGCAAGACAATTTGACAGTTATACTAATGAACCCCTCGTATCTTTATTTGGCCAGGTGATGTCGCCAGTGGTTAACAATTCAGGGGGAAATAAGTTTTCCGTTTTCTAACTCCAGCTTCCTAGTTTAACATTAGCAGTTTGTACAGGCGAATTAGAGACGTGCGGGTTGTGCACAGTTCGGCTGGCACCCGCCCATCGCAACAAGTGGGCCTGCTCCCCTGCAGCGCTACCGCAGGCCGGGTAATGTACAAGCCAGTTCCTTACAGGAACCTCACTCCGGGTCTTCGGGCTTGCACGCGCCGCCGGGCGGGGCTGTTCGGAGTGACGTCCCCGCCCATTCTGCCGGCTGAGGCCCTAGCCAGACTTGTGCGCATGCGCAATATGGACACGCTACCCCCTCCCTCCGCCGCTTTTCGGCGCACGCGTCCCCCCTCGTCGCGACCATGGCGACCGAGGAGGGGGCCCTGCCCGCCGAGCAGGCCGTGGGGCAG